ATGTTAGGACATTCCATTCTTAACAGTTACTGCCTGATGGTTGATCATTTCTCATCCCTTTACTTTCAATCAATTTGTATTTATTGATCCAAAATACATCTGTATTAAGGGCATAGTTACATCTCAAGATATTTTTTTTTGTTTGAAATCCAGTTTGGCAATTTGTTTTTTGATGTGATTAATCATTTAATTCTGCTATTGAGTTAAACTTTCTGTTTACCTTTTCTCTTTGTCTCATTTCTTTTTGTCATTTTTCTTCTTTATTGCTTTTTATTGAACTAAGTGAATATTTTCTCAAATGACAGTTTCTTTAATGACTTTATAGCTTGTTTTTTAAGCTATATTCTTTAGTAATGCTTCTTGGATTCTTAATATTTATTTTAACTTGTCAGAATATACTTTTGATTTATACTAAATTTATTCTAATATGATACCTAAAGTTTACTGTTACAGTTCTCTTATTTCTTTTCCCTCTTTCTCTTTTTCTTCTGTCTTTCTTTATCCTTCCAGTGCTAGCTGAGGTGGATGGAGCAAGCTTGCTTCCTTGTTTCTATCAGAATGGAAGTAGGGAGTGAAACTGCCTACTAAGTCTCTGGTGGATTGCCTATTTTTTTCCCCCCATTAGCCACAGACAGCAGGCTTTTCTTTAACTCGTTCTCTCTGTCCTATTCTATCCCTGGCACTGTCTCTGTCCCTGTCCCTGTCCCTATTCCTGTTCTTGGTGTTAGCCACAGGTTTCAGGCCTCTCCAGGGTCCAGTTTGAAAGATATAAGAATTGAAAAGAAAGCCAGAAAACTCATTGCCATGTTATCTCTCCCTTCCTGAGGTCCTTAACCAGGCAGCCATCTATTTTCCACCTTTTAGAATCTTTATGCTTCCAAGGAGGTAGAATAAAAGGTGTTTGTGTTCTTTAATCTTGGTGTGGAGGATAAATGGGTTTTTGCATATTGGAAAACCAAACTTTAAGTGATATACTTAGCTTTTGGTAGAAATTATTAGATGAGAGTGTGTGGGTGTGAAAAGAGAGGTAAAGATCTTTCTCTAACTAGACTCAGGGATCTCGGACTATAGAATGTACATCATTGCATGTATACTATATTTGGAAGACAGGGGCATCAATGCCAGGAAACTCTCCTAAAATACGTTCCCCCATTGTACTCTAATAATAATAGCTAGCATTTATTTATTACTTGCTTTCTTTGCTAAACCTTTTACTTACTAAAATGTTTATATAGTACATAGTTATACTGTTATCGTTTCCTATCCATATTCGACTCAGGATGATGGCTATGAATATTATTCTATTTGATATTTAAACATGATGGATATTGGAGAAGTTAAATGACTTGCATAAGGCTCATGCATGATAAAATGTTGGCCTTCTTAAGCCCAAACAGTCTTTTTTTCATAGCTGTATTCTTACCTGACTTCTGTTATATTTTAGGTGACTGATTTGTGGGAACTTGTTTCTGGGCTTTTATCTTCCTTAGAACTAATTGATGTTAATCTCTTCCTTTCTTCTTTGATTTCCAAGACCTTTCATTTATCCAAGTTTAATTTCCTTCCATGTACATTTCGATTATACCAGGTAAGCTATTTTGTTTTTGCTTGCATTTACTTCTGTACCTGTGGAGTCACATTCCTTTCTTCCTGTGATATTTTAATTTTACTTGCACTTTTCTCTTTTTGTGGAATGCTATTTCCTTTCTTCTCAGTATTTCCATATTCTATTTAAGGTCTACTTTAAGACCACTCTCTTTAGAAGGGTTTCATTCCATCTTATTTTCTCTCTTCTTTTAAATTTTGAATTGTCTTGTAACTTTTTGTAAACCAACACACCACTACTTTATCAGAATTCTTCCTCAGGTGCTACATTTTGTTTTTATTTTATCCTCAGTCCAAACTGGCATATAGGAAAGTCTTTGAAAAGCCCTGATGATTATTTCCTGACTCTACTGGGTGTCATTCAATGGTACAGTATTGCCTGCCCTTAACTTCGTTATAGAAGCTGATAGAAACATGTTAGAAAATAATTCTTTGAGCAGGAAAGAATCTTAACTTCTGAGATAGTACCTATACCCAAGGCTTGAATTGCTTTCTATGGCTAGTGACTTCCGTAATTTTGATCTTATCTAGATGTGTTTTACACTCCAGATTTTTATACCTAAATATTTATGGAACATCTTTATTTGGATATTCCTTAGGTATTTAATTTCAGAAATTAAAAACGTGAATGAATTGTTATCTCTTTAAACTATTCTTCTTTCTATATTTCCTTTCGTTGTGTGATGGTCTCACCAGCCAAGCCAGAAATGTGTATTTTTTCATTCTTATCCCTAATTACTCAGTCCTGTAGATTATGATTTTTAAATTCTTTCTCTCTCTCCTTTTTTTTTTTTTTTTTTGGTACCAGTGATCAAACTCACAACCTTGTGCTTGCCAGGGCAGGCACTTATACCGCTAAGTTAAGTCCCTGGCCCTGTAAATTCTCATATTTTTAAAAATTATTGTATTAGTAATAGAAAACTTATTTTTTGGGGGGGGGGAGCTCCTACCCATCCTCTAATGGAAACAAGGATATCCTTTTTAAAATTTTTTTTAACAAAGCAGATTAGATAGTGTCACTTCTAGTTTGAAAGTCTTGCTTAACCTCAGGATAAATTCCAAACTCAGAAGTCCCAGAAGGCCCCTACTCACACCTTTAGTCTTATACTTATTCTGGGTTCTGAAATCATATTGAACTGTCATTATACTAGATCCTTTTTGTTCCTTTGACCTTGAAAATGCCATTTTCTCTGCTTGGAGCACTTTCTTTCTCCATCTTTATGTCCTGTCCTTGTCCAACTCCAGTTTTATGTTTTCATTTAGTTAATGTCCTTTAGGAAATCTTTTCTTGTTTGCATCACTCACTTTGACTCCTTGCGGTTTAGGTTTTCTTTATCAGTGTTCCCATTAATTTTGCAAACAGTCCCTCTAATCACTGTACTCAACAGAGATAATAATAGTTTCTGGTTTTTATTTTTATTTTTTTTCTATTTTTTAAATCGGTACCGAGGATCGAACTCACCACCACACACTCGCAAGGCAGATGCTTATGCCGCTGAGCTAAATCTGCAGCCCCTGGTTTTTATTTCTTATATGACTTGCAGCTCTTTGAGGTCGGAGCTGGGACTTTGTTAGTATTTTATTTTGTTTTGTTAAACTTTTTGGTTTATTAACTTTTTTTTAGCCAATTTTATTTCCTCACAGAAATATTATTTCTCCTCAGGTTATAATGCAGCTATACATTTTCCTTCATTTTTAGTTTTTTTTCTTTTTCCCACACCTACTTCCTTTTCCTGTTTTATTTCTCCTCTTTCTCTTCCTTTTCACCCTCCTCCTCGCTATTCCCGTCCCTTTCATTCTCTCTCCCTTGCCTCCTTCCCCTTACCTTCACATCCCACTTCCTCCAAATCTTATCATCTTTCTGCCTCAGTCTCCCAAGTTGCTGGGACTACAGGCATGAACCACTGTAGTGGCCCTCACTTTTAGTTTTCTTGCAGAGTTAATACTTGATGCCTCAGTTTCCTTACTGCATAATTCACTGCTTAATCCATATCAACTACTTTTTTGAAGTTTTATCATTGGGCTTAGGGTAGTCAGTTGTAGTGGAAGTAATTTAGAATTCAGAATTAGAATTAAAAGTATCAGATTTGCCATTTACTCTACAACTCTAGAAAAATTAGTTATCTTTGCTACTCAGAAATTGGGTTTAAGCACCAATAGTATTGAGTTATCACTAGGATGTTTGTACAGTGGGAAATTTCAAGTCATTGCAGATGTGCTAAAGTAGAATCTGTAAGTTAACACACTGAGAAGTTCTGTTATATAGTTATCTTACAAACTTAGTTTACCTATATGTAAGGTGTTATTTATATATGTATATACATATGCAGAAACACAAAGATGCACACAGACATAAACATTATGTGAGGAGAATCAGTGAAACCTGTTGTGTGAATGTCATACATCTGATCCATATTGTATTTTTCCCATGGGATTTAAGGGCATGAGAAACCCTTAAAAATTAGGTGATGGACTTTTGTTATACCATGGCTAATCAAGTCTTTGTGTCTAAGGAAATTATGTCTTCTGCCAGCATTCCTGACACAACAGGCTGTTAGCTTGTAAGTAGGATGAAACCAAATCCCAGACCCCATAGCATTTCCCCATTCCATTGAAAATTCATTAAAAATCTAAATTTTATGATCTGTATAATTCTACAGTGGATAATTAGCTATATTGTGATTTTAAGCCATTATTCTGTTGTTGATGATTTTCATTTGTTTGCTCTATAATTAACATCTTCATATACATTTGTCTCCTTTGATGATTATTTCCATGGGATTTATTTCTAAAAGTTAAGAAGTTTGAGGAGGTGGAGTTGGCTTATTTTTTCAGTGTAAAACGGTTTTGTAAAAAAAAAATTTTAAAGACAAAAAACTAAAACAATTTCAAAACATGATAATTAGAGGATAACAATAGTTAATACATTGCACATTATTATCTTAAAATTATTTGTTTAGCTACAAGATAACTGCATTTAATTGTCTGAACAATATTAGCATAAATTTTTCTTTTGATTGAACCAAGAGAAATTAGTAGTATGACTATTTAACTATAAAATTTTTTTCAGCTTTTCATACTAGGGAGACATATGATGTTTATGCATGAATCTGATTCATTTTACTTATGAGTAGGATCTTTAGTTGCCTCGATTTAGCTGTAAAGGTTTCCAGTTTGCCCTTTTTTATGGCTGAGTAGTCCTCCCTTGTATAAAAATACCACATCTTCTTTATCCATTCCTCAGTTTATGGGCATTTAGGTTGTTTCCAAGATCTGGCTATTATAGATTGTGCTGTTGTAATCATGGGTGCACATGTATCTCTGTGGTATGATGAGAAAGGATTTTTTAAAAGTTGAAAACATGTATAATATTAACAGACTGCTTTTTTCTTTAGGAGATACTTCTAAAGAAGACTTGGCTGCTAAGTTGCAATCAGGCATTCCCACTTCTGGAGATTCAGACTTTGGATCCAATTTATCCTTGTCGTCTGAGGACTTGCCTCAGTTGGCTATAAGTTCTCAGAAAAATACTACTGGTCAGCTCATTGATACTGTTAAACAAAACACCTTGCCAGTCATTCATCAAACTGCAGCAAGTCTGAAAGTCTCACATTTTACTGAACTACCTGACCAAAAGACTGGGTTACCAATAGAACCATCTGCTTCCTACTCACAAAGTGAGAAGCCCAATATTTTGTACCGAGAGGGCTTGCCAGATGATCATCTAACAGATCAGTCACTGACAGTTTTAGCTGTCCTTGGACCTGATGATCAGAAGACTGACACAACCGCGGTCTCTTCTTTCTCCTCACATAAAGGAAAACCCTACCAGCAGGAGTTGCCAAGTAGTTATCTAACTGAGGAGGCTTTGAAAGTTGTAGCTGTTCCTGGAACACCAGATCAGAAGACTGGCAGACCAACTGTAATCACTACTTCCTACCCACATAGAGAGGAACCTGGTATTTTCTACCAACAAGAGTTGCCAAATGGAGACACTCCGAAAGTTTCAGGTGTTCCTGGGCCACCTGACCAGAAGAGTAGGACACCACGTGTAACCCCTACTCCTTACTTGCAAAGTAAGAAGCCCAGTAGTTTATACCAAGACAGCTTGCCAGATGGTCATCTACCTGAAGAGTCATTGAAAGTTTCATCTTTCCCGGGATCAGTCGACCAGAAGACTGGCATACAGACTATAATCTACCCACAAATAGATAAGCCTGATTTTTTCTACCAACAGGCTTTGCCAGACAACCATCTAACTGAAGAAACTCTGAAAGTTTCAGTTGCTCCCAAACCAGCTGAACAAAAGATTGGAATAATTCCAGTATCCTCTACTTCCTATTCACATGGAGAAAAGTCCCATACTTTGAATCTACAGGTCTTGCCAGAAAGTCATTTAACTGATAAGAATCTGGAAGTTTTAGCTATTCCTGGTATTGCTAACCAGAAAGCAAGGACAGTACCTGTTTCCTCTACTTCCAGCTTACTTAGAGAGAATAACATTTTGTACCAGCAGGAGTTGCCACAGAGTCATCTAACTGAAGAGACTCTAAAAATTTCCACTGCTCCTAGACCTGATGACCTGAAGACTGGGATACTAACACACTCTGGTTTTTACTCTCAGAGAGAGAAACCTGGTATTCCCTACCAACAGACCTTGTCAGACATTGATACAACTAAAGAGACTTTGAAAGCATCAGCTTTTTATGGGTTAACTGACCAGAAAACTTGTACACCAGCAGTATCTTCTATTTTTCACTCACATAGAGAAGAGCCCAGTGTTTACTATCAACAGGAGTTGCCAGATAGTCATCCAACAGAAAAGTGTCTGGAAGAATCTGTTGTCCCAGGACCAGCTGACCAGAAGTCCAGGATACCAACAGTAACCTCTGTTTCTTATTCACATAGAGACAAGCCTGGTTCCTATCAGCAGGTCCTGTCAGATAGTCATCTACATGAAGACACTGTCAAAGTTTCAGCCATTTCTGAACCAGCTGATCAGATATCTGGTATACCTACTCTAACGTCTGCTTCCTACTCATATAAAGAGAAACCTAGTATTTTCTATCAATGTAAGTTGCTAGACAGTAATCTAGAAAGGGCCCTCAAAGTGTCATCTGCCCCTCAAGCAGCAGAATTGAAGATTGGGACACCAATAGTGTTCTCTGCTTCCTACTCACAAATAGATAAGCCTGGTGTTTTCTCTATGCCAGCGGTGCTAAAGAGTCATCAAACTGAAGACATTTTGAAAGTTTCATCTGTTCCTGGACCAGACCAGAAAGGTGGCATATCAGCTGTAACCTCTACTTCTACCTTGTATAGAAAGGAACCTGGTATTTCCTCTCAGCAAGAATTACCAGAGAGTTATATATCTAGAGATTTTCCTAGACCAGCTGACCAGAAACCTGGAACACCAGCAGGACCTTCAGATTCCTCCTCACTTGGAAAGAAACCCATTATTTTCTACCAACAGGTCTTACCAAGTAGCTGTCAACCTGAAGAGGCTCTGAAAGTTTTAGCTGCATCTGGGACAGTTGGACAGAAAACTGGAACACCAGCAGTATCCTCTGCTTCCTACTCACAAATAGATAAGCCTGCTGTTTTCTGTAAGGAGGTCTTGCTAAAGAGCCATCAAACTGGACCAGACCAGAAAGGTGGCATATCAACTCTAACCTCTACTCCCACCTCACATAGAAGGGAACCTGGTATTTCTTCCCAACAAGAGTTATCAGAGAGTTATGTACCTAGAGAGTCTCCAAAAGTTTCAGCTTCTCCTAGACCAGCTGATCAGAAGACTGGGGCACCAGCAGGACCTTCAGATTCCTACTCACTTAGTGAGAAACCTATTATTTTCTGCCAGCAGGTCCCTCCCAGTAGTCATCTACCTGAAGAAGCTCTGAAAATTTTAATTGCTTCTGGAACAGCTGAACAGAAGCCTGAAACACCCACAGGACCTTCAGATTCCTACTCACTTGGAGAACAGCCCGTTATTTTCTGCCAACCAGTCTTGCCAAGTAGTCATCTACCTGAAGAGGCTCTGAAAGTTTCAGCTGACTCTACAATAGCTGAACAGACCCCTGCGACACCAGCAGGATCTTCAGGTTCCTACTCTCTTGGAGAGAAACCCATTATTTTCTGTCAGCAGTTTTTGCCAGGTGTCCTTCAACCTAAAGGGATTTTAAAAGCTTTTGCTTCTCCTGGGCCAGGTGACTTGAAGACTGAGAGGTCAACAATATCCCCCACTTTTTACTCACTTAGAGAAAAACCCATTACTGTGTACCAGCAGGCCCCGCCAGATAGTGAACTTACTAAAGAAGGTGTGAAATTTTCAGTTGTTCCTAAACCAGCTGATCAGAAGACTGGGATCTCATCTACTGTAACTTCTTGCTACTCAGAGAGAGAGAAGAATATTATTTGTTACCAGCAGGAGTTGCCAGATAGTCGCCTAACTGAGAAAGTTTCACTTGTTCCTGGATCAGTTTGCCGGAAGACTGAGACACAAACAGTTTCCTCTCATTCTTACTCGTACTCTACTGGTTTTTATGAGGAAGTATTTCCAGATACGAATGAAAAAGCTTCAGAAGTGTTGGGTGTTCTTGGACCTGTTGAAAAGAAAACTGGAATACAAATAGTGTCCTCCACCCCTTACTCAAATAGAGAGAAGCCTGTTACTTCTTACCAGAAAGTATTGTCAAGTCCTAATGGAGAAGCTCTGAAAGTTGTAGGTGTTCCTGGACCTTCTGACCAGAAGACTGCGTTATATGCAGTCCCGTCTCCCACCTACTCACAAGGAGAGCAATCCTTCATTTATTACCAGCCATACGAGAATCTGCCAGATCTTCCTGAAGAAGCCTCAAAAACAAAAGAGGTTTCTGGATCTGCTAGTCAGAAGCCCTCAATACAAACAGTGTCTTCTGCTTCCTGTTCACATGGAGAAAAGCCCAGTGATTTTCATCAGCAAGAGTTGCCAAATATTACTGAAGGTGCTTTGTATGTCATTCTTCCTGGAACAGATGGCCAGAAGTTTAGGATACCAACAACACCTTTAAGTTTCTACTTACCTGAAGAGAAATCCAAGATTTCAACTGTAAATATACCAGAAGACCAGAAGACTGAGTCACCAATAACTACACATAGTTCCTACTTGCAGAAAGAGAAACCCAAGATTTCACCTGTGATAGCCTTAAATGACCAGACAACTCCATCATTGACAGTTTTTCATAGTCTGCATTCTCAGAGAATAAAATCTCAACAGCAGATGCCAGATAGCGGAGATACTCCAAAGATCTCAACTGTCCCTGAACCAACTTACATAAATACTGGGATACCAGTATCTCTCTCTGGTTCTTATTTACACAAAGAGAAATGTAATACTTTCTATCCACAGGAATTGCCAGACAGATACCTAACTAAAGATGCACTAAAAGTTTCAACAATTCCTGAGCCAGCTGATCAGAAAGTAGTGTTGCCAACATCTGCTACTTCTTTTTCATACTGTGAAAAGCGAAATGTCTTCCATCAGAAGAATGTGCCAGGTAGACATGTAACTGAAGATGTTCTGAAAGTCTCAACTCGTCTTAGGCAAGCTGACCAAATTACTGAGTTACCAGTAGTTTCTCCTGATACTTGTTTACCTGATGGGAAACATAAACTTGTTTCAGAACATGTCCAAAAGCTACTAAATAATTTGAATTCTTCTGATGTCAGGCCAAATGATATGCCTTTACATTCTCAGGTTGATGATGGAGTTGTAACTAAGCCAGAATCTTCAGGTTTTGGAGATACTGGTTCTGAGGAGATCCGGGGTACACAAAATAGTTCTAAAACTCTTAAAGAAATTCGGACACTTTTAATGGAAGCAGAAAATATAGCACTAAAACGTTGCAACTTTTCTGCTCCCCTCATTCCCTTCAGAGATGTTAATGATATTTCATTTATACAATCTAAGAAGGTGGTTTGCTTCAAGGAACCCCCTACAATTGATATATCTAATGGTGATACGCTACAAAGAGAACCATTTACAGAGGATAACCCAAACAACAGGTACATACAGAAGGATATTGGCACACAAACTAGTTTGAAATGCCAGAGAGGCATTGAAAATTGGGAATTTATTACTTCAACTACAATTAGAAATCCTTTACAGGAAACAGAAAGCAAATCCAGGGTGGCATTAGAGGAAACTCTTAGGCAATATGAAGTGGCCAAGTCTGTATTAAGGTCTGAACCTGAAGGTTATAGTGGAAGCATTGGGAATAAAATTATTATCCCTATGATGACTATCATAAAAAGTGAAACAAGTAGTGATGCAAGTGATGGAAACGCTTCCTGCTCTTGGGACAGTAATTTTCCAGAGTCTTTGGAGTCAGTTTCGGATGTTTTTTTAAACTTTTTTCCTTGTGCTTCATCCAAGGCAAGCCTAACAGATAGCAGAGAGGAAGAGGGTGTGTCAGAGAGTGAGGATGGTGGTTGTAGTGTAGATTCACTGGGTGTACATGTAAGAAACCTTCTGCATTGTGAATCCTCTTTGAATCACGCCAAGCAAATACTTAAAAATGCAGAGGAAGAGGAATACCGGGTACGTAAAAGAGGTAAGACCTGATCATTTGTCATTTCGTCATGTTCAGGCTTACAATTTGTTTACAGTTAGATGTTTGGAGTTATTTTCCTGTAGAACTTGTTATGATGATTATATTTTCCACCAGCTATCCAGAAAAAAGCTATTTAAACAACAATGAAGTTAAGGTAGAGTATTAATAGTGTAAGTCTCAATTTACAGTTTTTGAAGTGTGTAGATTCTGATGTGTCACATAGAGAGTAAGAAAGTAGTTTGGATATCTAAGTTCCTAAAGCTTTTATGTTTCCCGGATCTTCCCACTGTACTATCCTTTTGGAGAGAGTGCAGGAAAAGCTTCTAGTTTTCTCTAAATTGCTCTATATTCTAAAACTACGTATATTTTCTTCACCTTTTTAAATACAATTAACTGAAGCCAATCTCAGATGTTAGAAAAACAAGACATGTCAAGGTATTTTATACTAAGACTTGTGATAGAAAACCTAGAGTGTTTTTATTAGAGTATTAGTAATAGTACTCTTTAATAGTAGAATTCTATTAAAGAGAAAGTAAGATCTTTAATATATATGGGGAATATGTTTTGGGGGACAATTTATGAGAACTCAGGCTTATATAGGAATCTTCCCTTGAGACTAACTCTGTACACTGTTCCTTGTACATTTGGACACTACAAAGAATTCTCTAGTTGTATCTTTTTTCTGTTTTTTCTGGTTTTTTTTTTTTTTTTTGGTACCGGGAATGGAACTCATGACCTCGTGCTTGCCAGACAGGTGTGGCATATCCCCAGTCCCTCTTCAGTTGTATTAATTTAAACAGTCAGCTTTCATGGAAGTGGAAATAACTACAGCAGGAGCTAAAAAGTGAGATGAAAGGACTCTATTGATTGGAGATTAAGATAAAAATGATTTATTACTGTATTTAAAAGTTTCTTTATAGAGAAATACCTGTAGAGTATGTTTTTAAAAAAAAAATACTCTAGTAAAATGATCTTTCAAGAACTTCACTAGGTTGTATCATTGAGTAAATACTAAGCATTATGGTAGGTATTAAGTTACAGATATTGATAATTTTCTGTGCTCTTATAATCACTAGATAGTTTTGAATCATCTCAATGTTGCTATGCTTTCTTTCTAGCTTGGAATCTGAAGCTTAATTTGGCTAATAACCCTGGATACTCCATATCAGAATTAAATGAAGATGACAGGAGGAAAGTAGAAGAGATCAAGGCAAAGTTGTTTGGTCATGGTAGAACACCTGACTTGTCTGAGGTAAAAAAAAATTAGTAATGAAAACAGAAAATGCAAAAGAAAAGATGATAGAAATTGAATCTCTCACCTCGATGTTGGTGATTACAGTAGAGTTGCTGATAATCTTTTACTGAAGTGTTAGGTGTTTTAAACGTCAAAAGTTAAGATTTAAGGATTAGATTCTGTAAGTTTTGATTAATTCCAAATTAATCTATTGAGAAAAATTTATCCTCTTAGAAAAATAAGAATAGATTTGCTCATTTTATCATTGTGTTTTGGAACAGAGAGACTAAACTTCACACGTATTTTTTTCCTTAAGATTGACCTCTTGTAATGCAAATGAAGTCCAGCTGGCTTTATATAGATATTCTCTACTTAACTCCACAGTTAAAGGGTTAGAAGTGTAGCTCAGGAGTAGAGTATTTTCCTAGCATGTATGAGGTCACTGGATTTGCTCCACAGTAAGGCAAAAGAAGGAGAAGACAGTTAATAATAGCTGATATAAACATGACTTTCTTTTTAATAGAGCTTACTTTCCTTCTGTTACGTGCTATTTCATACATTGAAACATTTATGTAAACCATGAAGAGAAATTAAAATAATTCCTTTATAGCCACTATTGAGCTTGAGAAACAGAATAGACTATTGTTCTTTGTATGTCTTTTTTCAGTCACTTTTTTGGGGATTGCACCTGTGGGTATCATGCATGCTAAGACTGCTGTAGCCCTTACTTATAGTAGCTTCATCCTTACCCTTCATCATATCTTTTTAATCCTGGCACATATGAACACTCTTCAGTATGGTTTTAAGATTTATATAGGTGGAATCACTGATACGTCTTCTTTGAAAATTGTTTTTTCACCATATTAGACTTCTGTGTGGATATGTAGTTTTAGTTTCTTTTTATTGTACCTATGGTGTATTTATTTTGGCATCTATTGTTAGTTGTCTGAGTTTTTAAACATGATAACTGTAATGGGAGGATTCAAAAATTTCATCATTCATCAGTCATTGAACCTTCAGTCTCCCCTATTTATCTATTTGTATCAGTATTTATTTGTATCAGTATCAGTCTCCCCTGTTTATCTATTTGTATCAGTTTTTTCTTTTAGTCACAGTGTGTTAGTGTCATTGTTTATTTTGATAATCAGATTATCCCACATTGTCAAACTAGTTCCTATGTATTTTTCTCATGTCTCCATCATTCTGAGAGCAGTTACTTTCTGGTATAAGAAGATATTTCAAGCATATATTTTTTTTCTTAGACCTGGACTTAGCCATTTCTCTAATGGCTTGGTGCCTTTCAACATAAGTGGTGTTTAAATACCAAAAATCTTTTAGCTCGATTGCCTAATAAATCATGATGCTGTTTCCTTTATGCACTTTCAGCAGTATGTATAGACATAATTACACACACACAACTATACCCTCTTGGATATCTGTTTCCTTATTCATTGGCATTAGAATTCGTGAAAATTTAAGTTTTTACTGGTATATCCAATTCCATTCCAGTAGGCTAGAGTTAGTCTGTCCTTTTCCTCTTTCTGTTTGTAATTCCTTCCCCAATAGTGAGAAACCTAGCACTCATAATCCTAAATATTACTTTATGTAAAATAGTAAATAAAGAACAATACTATTGACAAAGCTGTGAAGCAGATGGAACTATCATATTGCTTCTAGGAAAATGAATTGGTGCAATAAAAACGAATCTACAATTATTTTATAAATATGCCTGCCCTTGAACATGTCAGTCCTACATTTTTAAGTATTTACTCAAGGTATTAGTACATATGTTCTGTGAAAGACATGAGCAGAAACAATTGTTGTAGACAACATCTGAAAACAACATAAATGTCAATGAAGTGTAAAATACAGGAAGCAGATAAGATTTGTTCATAAAGTAAAATTCTAGATAGCAATAAAAAAATAAATCTCACTCAAGTAGTTTAGCTAAAAGGCCAAGTACAAGCTACTGATACTAAATAGTTCCATTTTCTTCAAAATTATTCAACCTCAGGTATTATTGTATTCTACAGAAAATAGATTAAAACACTTCTTATGTGAGAAGAGATTTTATGCTTATTTATTTCTTTGTAATTTTGGGCTTATGTTTTTCTTTTTCTTGTTCCTTGAGGTGTGAAGTTGGGATGCTTATTTGAATTTTTTCTTTTTTAATGTAAGCATTTATCACTCAAACTTAGTTTTTAAATTTTATATACACTGTTATGCAACCATCACCACCACTTATCTCCAAGACTTTTTGTTTTTCAAAACTTTGTTTCATAAGTTTTGTTATGCCATGTTTTTTTTTTTTCATGTGTCTCAGGTATTTGCAGACATCGCTTGATTTTATCTTACATTCATCCACTGGTTGTTCAGGAATGTAGTTTTATTTCCACACATTTGTGATTTTTTTTTTTTTTTTTAAGGTTTCCTTCTGTTGTTGGCTTGTGGTGTCAATCCACTGTACCTGGGAGAGAGGGAAACTTTATGTGATTTCAGTGTTGCTGAATTTGTTCAGATTTGTTTTATGACCTAACAGATAGTCATTCCTGACGAATGTTTATGTGCTCTGGAATATTTTGTATATGTATGTGCTATTGTTAAAAGTGAGGTTTAGAAGTTTCCTACTGTTGCATTGTTGCCTGTTCATCTTTTCATTCTGTCAGTGTCTGAATTATATATTTAGGTGCTCTGATGTATATTTATAATTGTTACATCTTCCTTTTTATCATATGACATTTTTTATCTCTTCTATGAGTTTTTGACTAAAAGTATGTGACACTTGTGTTACTTTGGTTACTATTTGTTTATAATATTTTTCCATCCTTTCACTTTCAGTTTGTGTTTATTCATAAATCTAAATCCCATCTTTACAGTTTAACCCATTTACATTAAAGGGATTATTGATAGGGAAGAACATATTGCCATTTTGTTTTCTATCTTGCAGTTCTTTTGTTTTTGTGTCTTTGTGATAGTTGATCTTTTTAGTGATAGATTTTGATTTCTTTTTGTGTTGCACCTTTTCTATAGGTATTTTCTTTGTCAATATCATGTGGCTTACTTATATAAAACACTTCATAGCACAAGCAACAAAACCAAAAATTGAGAATCCAAAAACTTCTGCACAGCAAAGTAAACAACAGAATGAAGTGACAGTTTATGGCAGAAAGTATTTCAAGCCATATCTCTGAAAAGGGGTTACTATCCCAAATAAAGAACTTTTATATTTCAATAACAAAAAACAACCTTGTTTAAAAAAACGTACAGGGACTTAAATGAAGAGTTCTCCAAAGAAGACATACAATGGCCAAAAGGTATATGAAAAGGGACTTATTACCACTAAACATTAGGAAAATGCAAGTGAGAATCAGAATGGCATATCACCTGTTAGAATGGTGCATTTAAGAAAAGTTGACAAGTATTGTCTTACTTACATTTTTTTGTTGCTAGAACAAAATACCCAGCATCTACCAGTTAAGGGAGGGAAGATTTATTTAGCTCACAATTTGTAGTTTTCAGTCCATAATTGGCTGGCTCCAAGGCAAGGTGGCTTCGCAGAGAATAGTTCATGGTGGGCACAAGACAGCAAAAGCAACAAGGGACCTTAACAGCATCTTTCTGCCCCTTTTATATTTTGTTTAGACTACCAAGAATAGGGCAGTGCCAAACCAATCAGTGCAGTGACTTAATAATCACATTTCCTTAATCCCAGCATTGCACCATGAATCAATCACACTCAGATCCAACCACCTCTAAAAAAGCCTGATGTATGATTGCATGAGGCTTTGGGGGAACATCTAAACACCATAAATATTGTGCTCCTGGCCTCCCAGACTTATGAGCATCCCTTTATGCAAGAGGCATTTAGTCCATCATAAGAGTTACCAAAGTCCTAACAGTGTCAGCATTGCTAAAAATGTCCTATTTCAAATTCTTCACTGAGATTTAAGGCAAACTCTTAGCTATAAGCTCTTGTACAAATAAAAATGAAGTTAAACACCTTCGATCTTTAGTGGCATAAGATAAACATTTCCAGTGGCATAAGATAAAGATTTCCATTCCAAAAGTTACAAACAAGGCTACAAAGAAATGGGACCAAAGCAATCCAAAATCTAGGGGGGCAAACATTAAATCCCACAGGCCCACTGACAGCATCCTTGGCAATCTGTGACAAGTTGTGAACTCCAAACGGCTTCAGTGGCTTCATCCCTGTGGCACGTCTAAAAAATAGGAAAACTCTAATAAAGTAAGGTGTTGTCATATTACATTCAGAGAGTGCTGTGGCATATTATATTGCTTGCTTGTTAACCTCTGTACCAGATTAACAGTGCTTTTGAAGATAGAAGCCCACTCTTCTGTTACTGGATCTTAGCTCCAGAAGGCTCAATGCAGATTTTGTTGTAAAAAGTTGTGGCTTAGTGTTTCAGCTTGTCTGAAGTTTTCCAAAAGGCTTGGTTCAGAAGATTTCTTTTCTTGTGGCCAACTTGGAGTTTTCCTGGGGTTAGGATGGCTTCCTCAGGAGCACTTTTCAAAAGCATTTAAAGATTAAAGTACCTGCTGTAGCAGTCTAAATTTAGGAATAATAATTAGCACACACAGTGGGATGAGAAACTTGACAAAGTATTTGTCTTTGTGACTGGCTTATTTAGTAGTGTTATGGCTTTAAAATTCATTCATGTTGTGTACTGTTAGAATTTTCTTCCTCTTTGAGACTTTATAGTATTCCATTATATATGCATACTACATTTTTTGTTTATCCACTCTTCTGCTAATGGTTACTTGAGTTGTTTCTACCTTTTGACTCATGAATATTGCTGCTGTGAACATAATTGTATATTTTGAGATCCCGCTTTCTTTTTGGTAAACACTCAGAAGTATAATTGCTAAATTAAATGGTCATTCTCTCTGCAGAATTTTGAGGAAGCCCTATATTGTTTTCCATATTGCTACACTGTTTTCCATTCTTAGCAGCAACTTCAAGAGTTCTAATTTCTCTACATCCTTGAAAGTACTTGTTATGTCTTGTTTGTTTTGTTTTTATAATGATTATCCTAATAAATTTGAGGTAATATTGTGTTACTGATTTTCATTTCTTTTGTGATTAGTAATACTGAGATTCTTTTTATGTGTTGTCCTGTTGCACATTTTCTCTAGATAAATGCCTGTTGAAATTTTTGTCTGTTTTTGAGTGGATTGGTCTGTTCTTGAGTTGGATTGGGGGGTTGTTTTGTTATTTGATTTGGGTTCTTGGTTGGTTGTTTGGAGGGAAGTGGTTAAGTTACAGATGTTCTGTATATGTTGGATATTAAATCCCTATTAGAAATTTAATTTGCAAATATTCTTGGCTATTTTATAGGTTGTCTTTTCACTGTGTTTGTTGATGCACAGAGGTTTTAAAACTTTATTTAGCCCAGTTTATCTATGCTCATTTTGTTGCCTGTCTCTGTTAAGATAATTTTTATGCATGGCATGCAGATTCATTCTTTGCATGTGACTGTTTAGTTATTTCAGTATTGTATGTTGGAAAGCTGATTCTTTCCTCATTTCTTGACCTCTTTTTAAAGGATTCCTTCTCCTTAGTGTATATATCAGGACTGTTCTGTGGATGAGCTTTTGAAGATTACACATGCAAGAGAGTGCATTATTCTGATTTACATTACTCTAATAAAATACCAGAGGTTAGGGTACTTTATAAAGAGAAGTATTATGTCCTTAAAATTTAGCTATGAGTTCTAGAGTCCAAACAGTATGGTGCTACTCTGTTGAGGGTCCTCTTACTATATTACCTTGTGGTGAATGGCATCACAGTGGCAGTAGCACATGCAAGAATGAATGATCACATATTAAGACAGGAAGCTAAGAGGGGTTTTTAAAAAATATAACAGTTGCTCTGAGATAACTAATTCAGAATCTCACATGAGTTACTTTACGCTGGACATGATGGTATGTATGTAATCCCAACGCTCTGAGACCCTGAAACAGGAAAATCACAAATTTGAGCCCCTCTTATCCACTTATTAAGAACCTGTCTCAAAATTAAAAAACAAAAAATAGGCTAGGATACAGCTCAGTCCCCAGTACCACAACAAACAAAACCAGGGGGGGAAAAAATCCCAAAAACAGAAACCTGAAATGTAGTTCAGTGCAAAAGCTGTGGGTTCAATTTCTAGTGCTACAGAACAAGCAAACAAAGAATATGAAGATCATAAATGCCCTTCACTCAGTTTCTTCCAATGATAACATAGCTGGGATACTGAGATTGATACTTTACATTGCCACAGTGTAAATGCCTGTAAGTCCTGGTCTCCTGCTCCATCTTCTCTGGTAGACACTGGGGTGTTGGGATGCCTCATTACAGTTTTTTAAGAGTGAAATTCTAGGCTTCTCATAACTCCGTTAGTGTGAAATGTAGGTCAAGCTATAATTTTTCTTGTGGTAGTTTATTGGAGTAGAACAGTTATGGTCTAAAAGTTTTGTGTTTGGCTCAACTGTACTTTTACTTTTTTTTTTTTTTAAGCTAATGAGAGAAAATATTTTAGGCCAAGTTTTTTAAACAAAGAAATGAGAAAATGTCTTCAGTTTGGTGGATTTACGGTGAGCCAAAGTTTGGGTGAGGTACTTCTTTTACTAAAAAGAAGGATGTAAGAATAAATATTGGAAAGCAGTAGTAGTCTTTGTTGTAATATAGTGGAAAATTTTTAGGAGAGCTTTTGTGGATCATTTCAGTTGTCAATGAATTGTTTTGTTCTGTAGTTAACTTATTTTCTTGTTATAGTCTTTGATTTGCTTCATTTATGAAAGAATGACATGATCTTCGTGATCAAATATTAATCTGGATAGAACACTCATTAGCATAATATAAAGCTATTTTGGTACTTCAAGTAAAACCTATTTTTGTCTTTTAGGGTTTACGGAGTCCACGGGGAATAGCAAGCACACCTGAACCTGTATGCAGTCACATTATTATTGAGAGCCATGAAAGAGGATGTTTCAGGACTCTGACTCCTGAACAGCCACAATTGGACAGCCACTCTTGTGTTTTTAGATCTACTGAACCCTCAGAAGTGATCAGAGGACAACCGTGCCCATCACCATGGAGAACCAGACACATCAATTTTTCTAAATCACTAGACCAGAACAACTCACATTTTAAAGTTTGGAATTCCTTGCAGTTACAAAGTCATTCCCAATTTCATAACAACATCAGCAAGGGTTTTCGAGCGCCGTCTTACGAAAAATCGGATCCCTGGCTGTCAGAATTAGTAGGACCTGCTTGTGTGGATTTTCATTCTTCAACACAAATACCTACCCCTGAGCCCATGAGACAGTTTACTACCTCCATCACATTTTCATCTCACCGACATTCTAAATGCATTTCAGATTCCTCTGTTTTTAAGGTTGGTGTTACTGAAAGTAGTCAAGGTACTGGAGCATCTGTGGGGGTATTTAATTCTAATGTCACTGAAGAGCAAACTCCTCCTAGAGATCTTAAACAGAAAAGTTCTTCCCCTTCATCACTTAAAACACTTAGTCATTCACCAGATAAAGATGTGATCATTGTACCAGAAGGTAATAGGCAAAGTAAAAAGTCACCTGTTGATTTTCAGCATTCTCATGAAGAAGAAAAACTCTTAGAAAGATCAGATTTTAAAGTCAACCTTTTTAACCCTGGTAGCAGGGCAAATTGTAGCCATTTCAAGGAAGTTCAGTTTTCTGATAGTCATACCCTCGTTAGCACAAGCAGACCAAATTCCACACTAGGAGTAAAAGAGAATATAACTATAACTCCAGATATTCCTTCACTTATTTTTCTTGAACAACAAGAGCTTTTTGAACAAAGCAAAGATCCACATACAGATCACCATCAGCAAAAACACCATTCACCCCCTTGTCCAAATGTTCCTCCTTGCATTTTTCTTGAACAAGAACTCTTTGAGCAAAGCAAACTCCCACATATAGAACATGTAAATCATGAGATGAGAGTAAGCCATTCTTCCTTTCCCCATTGTCAGGATTATATAGCTTCAGACCTTCCTTCCATTTTTTTCAAACAGCATCAAAGCAAAATCCCTAGTGTAGATGACCACAAGAAGAAAGACCATTTTCCTCTCTCTCAAGGTCAGGATTGTGTAGTAGAAAAGAACAAACATACACCTAAATCACATGTTTCTAATACAAATGTTGAAGCTAAATTCAATAATGCAGTCTCCCATTTATCACCTGATCATTATACATTAGCAACATCTGCATCTGCTCCACCTTCAAATAGAAAAGCACTTTCCTGTGTTCGTATCACTCTTAGTCCCAAGACTACTTCCAAGTTGGATAGTGGAACCTTAGATAAAAGATTTTATTCATTGGATCCTGCTTCTAAAACAAGGATGAATAGTGAGTTTAACTCTGACCTACAAACTATATCTTCGAGATCATTGGAACCAACCTCCAGATTATTGACCAGTAAATCTGTAGCACAGAATCAAGAATCTTTAGGTTTTCTAGGATCTAAATCTTCACTGGACTTCCAAGTTGTACAGTCTCCTCTTCCAGATAGTAATACTATTGCTCAGAACTCGAACACTGTACCTTCTCAGAATAGCCAGATAACAACCTCAAGGCAAATACAAGTGAACATTTCAGATTTGGAAGGATATTCCAAACCAGAAGGGACTCCGATATCTGCAGATGGGTGAGTCTCATTGTGATAACAATGAAGCTGATGAAATTTGTGATAAAGGGTTTTAAATATCTAAGGAAATGTAAGTTCTTGAGAAAAGGCAGTGTGATTTAAGGGAGGTTGTATCTGACTAATCTGCTAGAAGTCTTTCAAGAAGTATATAAATAAGAATATGAGAAGGTAATGTATACTTTCAAAGGACTTTTGGCAAGATGACATAAAATGTTACAAGAAAATGAATTACTTTGAAACGAATCTTTGATAATCCAGTGGTATAATTTACTAATCATTTTTGTGTTGAAGATAGGCTAATAAACTCCTTTGGGAGTTTGCATGTGTCTCCCCTGCCCCCCTTTGCATCCCCTTTTATTTCCCTCAAATGTTAGTATTTACAAAGAAAAAAGGAACTTTACATTGGAGAATCCTGACAGATAACAGTTTTAGTCAGGTTACTAAGGTTAGCATCACCAGTAATGCGCATCAACTCACTGTCGAGGGTCATGTTTTCTTATTTTATTCAATGGTTTATGATTATATTGATCAGCTTTCATAGCTGACGCCCATAACTTAAGGGAAGAAAGGTATATTTTGGTTCATGATTTCAGAGATTTCAGTCCGTGGTCTACTCACTGCAAGGCAAAAGACCTCAAGACAGAAGGACACGGGCGAGGAAAACTCCTCCACTCATAGCAACCAAGGCATGCAAGGAAAGCAAGAGAAGAGGTCAGGGACCAAATATATATATAGTCCCTAGGGTTATGCCCACCATGACCCATAGTGTATGACCCATTCCTCACACTAGATTTCACATATCAGAGAAAACATGCAATCCTTGACTTTCTGAGACTGGGTTATTTTGCTTAACATAATAATCTGTTTTCATAATTTCATTCTTTTCAGCTGAATAATACTCCATTGTATATAAATACCACATTCCATCTGTTGATAGGCACCTAGACTGGTTCCATTCTATTGTTGGCAGTTGTGAATTGTGTTGTAGTAAGCAGATATGCAAGTATCCTTAGAGGATACTGTCTTTATCCTTCTAGGATATATCAAGAAGAGCTATAGCTGAGTTAATATGGTAGTTTAGTTTTTCGAGGAATTTCCATGGGTTTCCATGGTGACTGTACTAATTTGCATCCCCAGCAGTAGTGTAGAAGGGTTCCTTTTCACCTACATCTGCACCAAGTTTTATTATTTTTTCCATTCCTGATGGTTGTCACTCTGAATGGTGTAAAGGTGGATTATCAATGTGGTTTTGATTTGCATTTTCCTAGAGACTAAAGATGTTGAATATTTATTTATGTACTTAATTGTCATTTGTATATTTTGAGAAGTGTCTAATTCATTTGCTCATTTGTCAGTTGGGCTCTGTTTTTTGGGTGTTAACTATTTTGAGTTCTTTGTACATTCTAGACATTACTCTGTTGGAATTGTAGTTGGCAAATCTCCCATTCTAAAACTTACAGTTGTTTTTCTTGCTGTGCAGAAATTTTTTATTTTAATGTCATCCCATTTGTTGGTTCTTGGTATTATTTCCTGTGCTATTGGGTTCATATCAGGGAGTCTTTGCCTGTGCCTATGACTTAAAGTGTTTTCTCTGTGTTTTCTTTTACAAGTTTCAGTTTTACTTCTTGTATCTTTGATCCATTTTGAGTCAGTTATTGTTTAGGGTGAGAAATAGGGTTCTAGTTTCAGTTTCTTCTATAAGTGATTATCTAGTTCTCTGAACATCATTTGTTAAAGAGACTGTTTTAATCCTAGCACTTGGGAGGCTGAGGCAGGAAGACTGCCAATGATTGAAGCTAGCTTGCTTCATAGTTTTAAGAACAGCCTAAGCTACATAGAGAGACTGTTTCCAAAAAAACAAAACAAAACAAAAAAAAGAGGTTATCTTTTCTCCAACATATGCTTCTGACCTATTTGTAAAAAAAAAATCAGGTGGCTCTAGTTCCATTTTTTAAGTATGTCCTTTAGGGGCTGGGGATTTAGCTCAGTGGCATAAGTACCTGCCTTGCAAGCAGGCGGTCGTGAGTTCGTTCCCTGATACTGATAAAAATGAAAAAGACAAAAAAAAAAATGTCCTTTATTCTTTTGATCTACATGTCTGATTTTGTGCAAGTATCATATTGTTTTTTCTTATTATGGCTTTGTAGTATAATTTGAAATGAGACATTGTGATTTGTCTATCATTTGCTTCAGATTGCTTTGGTTACCCTGGGTTTTTTTGTTTCCATATGAATTTTAGGATTTTTCTAGTTCTATAAAGAATGTTATTAGTATTTTGATGGGGATTTCATTGAGTCTATAGCTTGCTTTTGCTTATGGCCATTTAAACAATATTAATTCTGACAGTCTGATGAATATGGGAAGCCTTTCCACTTTCTAGTGTCATATTCCATTTCTCTAGTGTTCCAAAATTTTCACTGTAGATATCTTTCCATCTCCTTGGTTAGATTGGATCTTAGGTATTTTATTTTTTGAAGATATGTTGAATGGGTTTATTCCCAATTTTGTTTGCAGCTAATTCATTATTAGTATGTGGATTACTGGTGTGTAGAAAAGCTACTGATTGTTTGTTTGTTTGTATGTATGTATTTATTTGGGACAGGATCTGGCCATGTAGATCAGGGTGGTCTTACACTTAACTATGTAGCCCAGGCTGGCCTTGAACTTGTGCTGATCCTCCTGTCTTGGCCTTCCAAGTGCTGGGATGATCCTTCTGTGCCATTCTGCCTGGCAACTATTTTGTTTAATGTGGATTTTGTATCCTGGTGCTTTGCTGTGTGTATTTTATCAGCTCTGAAACTCTTTTGGCAGGGCACTAAGATCTGAGTATAAAATGATAATTGTGTACAAATGAGGGTAATTTAACTTCTTTTCCTATTTGTATCCCTTTTATTTTTCTCTTAACTAATTGCGCTAGCTAAAATTTTGAGTACTAAATTGAATATTAGTATGAGAGTTGTCATCCTTGTATCTTTCTAGAAATGCTTTTATTTTTTCTCCTTGGGAAAATCACATGTGACAGGTCTGACTCCTTACCACAGAAAGTGATGCTGCAGACCACTATTAACTACATTGTTCCTAAAGCAGAAGTCCATTTTAGCTGATCTTTCATTTTTCTCTGTATTATTTTTGTGTCTTTTATTATACTTATTAGATAATTGATTATTTTTAAGATTTTACCTATGATATTTTTAGTTTTTAATTGTTTAACTTACTGATTTGGAAAAATTTAATGAATTTTAAAAATTTGATCTATCTGGCAATTTTTCTAAAACTTTATATTCTAATTTACGTGTAGGTTCTTTGGAGTGACTGTATACAGAGTTTTACATCTATGTTTTTTATTTGTCCTATTTATTTAGTGAAATATAGACGCAGGCTCAGAGATTCAAATTTTTCTGCCTTTTGATATGTTCTTGATATTACCCTGATAGAATACAATATTATTTGCTTTTTTAAAATAAAAACTTTAGTGTTTGAATAATTTTAGATTCACATTAAAAATACAAAATAGAGCTCTCTGTAGCCCTCTCCTAGGTTTTCCTATTGTTAAAAATCTTAAATTGTCATCGCATATGTGTGAAAACTAAGACACAAGCATTTATTCATTGCTATTAATGAACTCCTGGTCTATACATGCATTAGTCCAATTTTTTGTTAATGTCTTTTTTTAATTCCATGATCTGATCTTTAGTTTACTATAGTCTGAATATTTGTGTCTTCTGAAAATCAGTATATTGAATTTAATCCTCTAATGTGGTTATTTGGAGGTGGGATCTTCATGGAGGTGGTAGCTCATGAAGGTGACTCCCTCTTAAATGGGATTAGTGCCCTTATAAAAGAAACTTTAGAGAACTAGTTCACCCTTTCTTCCATGTGATAACAAGTAGATGTCATCTGTGAACCAAAAAGCAAGCTTTCATTAGGTAACATATCTTGAACTTAACAGGCTCTAGAGCTGTTAACCATGCATTTCTATTGTTTATAAGCCACCCAATCTATGTTATTTTGTTGTGACAGCCTAAATGGACTAGGACAAAAATTGATACCAAGAAGTGGAATTGCTACTATAATAAATACCTAAAACTAGGAGTGTAGCTTTGGATTCGAGTAATGGGTACATGCTGCAAGACTTTTTAGGTGTATACTAGGAAAAAATTGCTGTGAATAGGTTGTTACCATTCATTTTGGTGTATGCTTAGGAAAGTGGTAAAACCATAGAGAAATCCTTAAAGGTCTTGAAGATTTTTGAGTAGAATATAAGATATAGGTAAGGAACAATTTCAGACAGAAATTAGAAATGTGTTGTTGGAAACTGATGGAAAAGCCATTCCTTTTTATAAATTATCAAAGAGCTAAGCTGAATTACATTCATGTTTTATAACATATAGAACTTGCAAATTCTGAATTTGACTAAAGAATTTTCTAAGCGAGGTGTTGAAGGTGCAGGTAGATTTCTTTTACATCCTGATTGTAAAATGCAAGTAAAGAAGCAATTTAAAGATGGAATTTAATCCAAACGGCAGAAATTTAAAAAATGGAAAATTCTTAGTATTTCTTACTGTGAAAAATGAGAACACATGTTTGGGAGAAAACACTAATAGTGTGGCCAACAGGCCATTCGATAAAAAAAAAAAAATTAGTATGGGCAGGCAGATATAGTTCTTCAAGAAAACTGAAGAATTACTCCAAAGGCATTTCATATATTTTTGGGACTATCACTTCCATCTATGGCCCAGAATACAAGGACCTTGGAGATAAAATAATTTCAAATGAGATGTTTCAGGCAACAATGGGGCCTTGGTGCTTACTGTCTCTCTCTTTTCCTGCCTGCATTGTTACTTAGAGCCCCAGTAGAGTACTTCATGTGTATACTCCAGCAAAATTGGGAGTGTAGACACCTTAGAGAGCCTCAGGACTGAGATAGGAAATCACTGAGTGAAAGCCTCTGGAGAACCTACGAGGCAGTGCCTAGTAGAGCCTGAGGATAGGGCTATCCCCAAAGCACCAGACTAGTAGAGCCATCTGGGTATAATTCCAGCTGAGGAGGACAGTGCATGTGGAATTCAGACCAAGAGTCATTGAGGAAATAGGTCTGCTGCAGAGAACTGTATTAGGTACAGGATTGCCCAATGCTGTGGGGGCAAAGTCAGTGCCTTAGTGGGTCCAGAAGGCAAGATCTTCAACCCAGTGAACCTGAAGGGTAGGACCTTGAGTCAAAGATTATTCTTGAGTTTAAAGATTGGGACCTATTACCCTCGCCACTTTTTTTATTGATTACTTCTTTTTTGCAATGAAAATATCTATCCTATCTCCAGATACATTCTGTTATTTATAAGCCACATAGCAACCCAACTGGACTGAGCCAATTATCATGTCTCTTTCTCCTGTAGTATATGGCAATCATTTATTCCTTCCCTGTTTTTCATGAACTTAGCAGGTTTGAGGCATACTGGTCAGACATTTTGTAGGTGATTCCTCAGTTTGGGTTTGGCTAATGTTTTTTCATAATGAGACTGGAATTTTAGATTTAGGCAAAGAATGCCATATTGGTGAGAAGTACTCCTGTTTCACATCATATGGAGAGTATGCTAGTCTCCTATTCTCACTGGTAATGACAACCTTGATTATGTAGAAAAGGCAGTGTTTGCTGACTGCTCCATTGCTCTGTCTTATACTCTGTTTTTTGAAGTCCAGCCTATTCTTAAGGTGAGGAATGGAGACTAAGCTTTACCTCCTTTTATGGGAAATGTACACATACATTATTTAGAATTCTTCTTAAGCAGAACATATCTCTCCTGTCTATTCAATCATTTTTTACTCTTTTAATATGAATTCTGTATATGGAAATAAATAACTACATTCTTGAAAACTTGTTATTCCCCCGTTTAAATGTAAACCCCTTGAAGTAAGACTGTTTCTTCTTTATTTTTGTACATTTTAGATATGTAGCACAGTCCTCTAATTTATAGTGGCTATCTAATAAATAAGTATATTCACATTAACTGAAAGCCACTATTTCCTTAGTTAAAACTGTTTAATGGCATTGTACATTAAAAATAGGCTTTAAAAGCCCAGACATGGTTGTGTATACCTGTAATCCCAGCACTCAGGAGGTTGAGGCAGGAGAGGATCATTGTGAGTTTGCGGCCATTCTGGGCCACAAAGTGAACTCAGGGCCAGCCTGAACTGCATAGCAAGACCCTGTCTCGTGTCTCAAAAAAAAAAAGACCAAAAATAAATAAGCAAGTAAGTAAGTAAATGGTAGATTGTAAAGTAAAACACATACACGATCACATTTTAATATGTATCTAACAGAATGAAGGTTACCATGGAAATACCATTTGAGATTGTTGTGTTCACAAAATATTCCTGGTAGCTACCTAACTATTCCTGGCCAAAAATATGCTCTTTCATTTCTTGTCTTTTTTGTTCAGTTCACCAGAACAGAATAAGACCCAATTTTCTGCCTTCTCTGGAAAGTTATCATCTGATGCAGTCACTCAGATAACAACAGAAAGTCCAGAAAAGGCTGTGTTTTCTTCTGAGATTTTTATTAATGCTGAAGATCATGGACAGGAAATTCTAGAGTCCACTACCCAAAAGCTACAGAAAGTTCCTGTCAGGTTTGCTTCATCATCTTCCGTGCAACAGATTACTTCTAATTGTGGCGCAGATGGTAAGGGAATGTGACTACGTTTACGGTCATTGTCCTTATTTTTGTGTATATCCTAGAAATCTGTTACTGTGTCTTTTTTGTCATTAAATCTAATTTTAACAGTGGAATCCTCATGATTATTACATCTTTTTTAATTTGTGTAGCTATGAAGAGACTGTGATTTATTTTTATCTTAACTATCAGTAGAGTTAACAATATATGTGGAATGCATTCTGCCTGAAGTTGATTTACTTTCATCTCATGATAATTGATGTTTGTTAAGAGTGCAGGTGTTACATAGTAACTTAAAAACATTGAGGTCTGCCTTCAGGTAGACAAATACATTATTTGCATTTTGCTATAAATAGCAATGTTATAAATAGATGTAAAACTATGTAATAGAGTAAATATAGTATCAGTTTATTTCTTGCTTGTAAAAGTCACCTGTTACCTTGCTATCTTTAAAATGTAGAAACAGAGGTTATCCTGGATTTACCATTATACTCAATGGGAAAGAACAAAAAGCACGGAGGAACAGGTATGGGAGTTTTTTTTAATAGGCCTATCCTCAAAGTGGCCCAAATGACTTTCCAACTGCATTGTTTTCCAGGATGGGAAAATGAATTTTGGTGAACAGCTAACTATCTCTGCCATGAAAAATGCATGTAGTGTTATATGCTATAGTTGCTGTGATACTTTGATAGTGTTTATAGCCTATAACATTTAAAATAAGAGTAAATTATAAACTGTTTTCCTTTTTAAGCAGACAGGAGAAATATAAATAGCTCAGTTCTTATTTTTTTCCCAAGTAAAGGTGAGAGCTTTATTATTAACTTTAAAGCATTTAGTATTCTGACATGGAAATACAGATACAATTTAGTGGTAAGGATCTGTCTTTTGTGATAGAGCATTTGCCTAGAATGTGTGAGGCTCTGGGTTTGAGCCCCAGCACTTAAAAATATATTTTTAAAATGTGTTGCATAAATCTATTCAAGATAGATTGTTTCTTGCTTGCTTGCTTGCTTTTGGATATTGAGGATCAAACTCATGACCTTGTGCTTGCCAGGCAGGCACTTACTTTTTTTTTGTGGGGTTTTTTTGGTACCGGAGATCGAACTTACAACTTTGCACTTACCACCAGCGCTTACACCACTGAGATAAATCCTCGGCCTTCAGGCAGGCATTTGTGGCACTGAGCTAAACTTCCAGCCCAAGTCTTCTATTCATTTGTTTATTTTATTTTATTTTTTTTTTGGTACTAGGGATTGAACTCATAACCTTGTGTTTGCCAGGCAGGTACTTGTGCCGCTGAGCTAAATCTCTGGCCCCCACTGGTGAAGGAAGAAAATTAATAAATCAGTATTAAAACAATAATGGCCATAGCAATAATCAAACAGAGCTAGAGGCTATGGCATTTCTTGTTTTGTTATTTTGCCCAATTGAGTGGTACAGTATTCTTAAGTCATCTGAGACTTTTTAACCCTGCAAATATAACATGAGTATTATTTTTCATCATTTTCTATCATCAAGTATTAGTGATGTTCTAATGACTTTGTTCCTGATAGTTCAGGTCAAAGATTTAGTCAATACTACATATACTATCCCATGTGTTGCTTTACTGGGAGAAAAATGCAAATTGGTTAGATAGTTGCTATCTCTGATTGAAATGTCTCTCTGTTATTTCTAAGACCCATCTAGCAAATCTCCAAATCACAAAGATTGAAAGTAAAAGATTCTAAGAGGGCTCTAACTTTATTCCTAAATGCATACATTCTTTCTGGTACTTGAGATAGGAAAGCACCATGTATGGGTCAGCACGTATACTGTATTCTGTAAGATAGCATCTCAGCCTCAGAAACTATTGTCCTAAAGTTATCAGTGTTGCTCATTTTTTTTTTTTGTAATCTTTGGCATATTTATGGGTGGTAAGAACTGTAAATCTCTTTAAGCATTTATGTTTTGTCTTATTTCCTTCACTGTAAATTAATTTCCTTTTTTTTTTGAAGCATGGTACTAATGATATAAAATATAGTGCCAAAATAAATCATTAGAACAGTTGAAAATGGTAAAAAAATTCTAGATAATATAAGATGGTTTTGTTCTAAATGAAAGAGATCTCATTCTACTCCAAGACTATCATAATCTGTCAGAAGCATGTTGATTTCTATAAAATAGATGTGGACAACTACAAATATACCTAGAAGTGGAGGACAGTTGTAAGAAAAAATTGTGATCTGTAAGGGTAAATTAAAGGTGTGTGAGGTATTTGGCCAGGAGAAGTGATAGCTGTCTCCACAATTCTATTCATGAGAGGAATATAACCCCATAAAATGTTTAGAAGTAGCCTAAACAAAAAAATATATGTGACCTATGTGCAGAAGAAAATGTCCTTTGTGTAAAGATAGAAAAGGGGAAGGTTATGTTTGTGGGTAGGAAACTTGAATGTTGTGCAGATGTCATTTATTCCCCCAGTAAATATATTTTACCATAATTTTGGTTAAAATGCTAGTGGAATTGTTCTTTGGAACTTGTTTTAATTTGTCTTGAAGTTTTTCAGAAAGAATAAAAAAATTTGGAGAAATAAAAGAGTAATTATTTTCCCTGGTTTCTCAAAAAGGAGAAAAAAATAGAGATTATATAATATGTTGTTATAGCAAATTTATAGAGAAGGGAATTGAAAAAACTCAGTACTTTAGTTCTAAACATATTGATATTACAGATTAATGCCCCTTATGTTCTTTTGTCATAATAACTCTAAAAGATGATATTATCAAGCTCACTTTCTAGGTGAAGAAACAGGTAAAAAAAATATGTAGTAAGTAGTAGTTTCAATTGATTTAAATTGACTGACTGCTTATTGAGTATGTGTTAATGTATTAGAATGTAAGATCAACTTTTTTGTTAAAGGAATTCCACTGCAGTTGAGTAGGTAGCTTTATGCATCCTCCCAGCTTTTTTTTCTTTTGATACTAGGGATTGAACTTGGAGCCTTGGTCATGCCAAACCTGCTCTATATCTGAGCTATATCCCTAGCCCTCTGGCATTGTGACTTCGGTCTCTGGATGGAAGCTATTGGAATCTGCAGTACCCAGGAAGAGATGGGCTCCCTTTAATGGAATTCCTAGAATTTGTACATACTCTTGCACTCATGGTCCAGAACTTGATCACATATCTTGGAAAATATAGTGTGTAGGCAAAAGGAAGAAATAAGAGAATATACGAGGAACCATTTAACAGTTTCTACCATACCATGAAAGAAAAACAAGTACAATTGGCTGTCCATATTTGTGGGTTTTGCATCTGTCGAGTTACATAATCACAGATAGAAAATATTCAGAAAATTGTATTTGTATCTGAACTAAACAAGTACAAATTTTTTTCTTGTCACTATTCCCTATATAATATAGTATAATAAATAAAAATAATTTAGAGATGCTTTAAAGTATACAGGAGAATTTGCAAAAGCTATGCCATTTTATAGTAGGGACCTGAACATCCACGAATTTGGTATCCTAGGAAGTCCTGGTCTCAATCCCCAGGTATCAAGGGACAACTGTCTATAGGACAAAACTTCATCTTCTTTGCCAGTGTTGGCGAACCTATGGCATGTGTATCCCAGCCAGCTGTTTGTTATCACGGAAATTTCTAAAATGTTCGCCATCACTGTCCTACACCACTGAAACGAGAGGCACATTTAAACAGTTGCCCTTATTAACAAATAATTATTTCTTAATGTCTGACTGTAATAAGCACTGTTTGAAGAAGAGTACTTGGCACAGACATTAGGAAGCATTTATGAAGTTTGAATTTTTTTAAACTTCATAAGTGGTATAATCTAAATTCTATAATTAGAGAATTTATCTGAGAGAGCTGGTAGGGGAGAACAAATATGCTACAGACATAAATATCTTTAGTCACAGATTTTTATTTCATTTCATTTCATTTTTTGTACTAGTAATTGAACTGAGAACCTTACACTTGCCATTCAAGCATTGTGCCACTGAATTGTAGCCCTGGCTCCTTGCAGAATCCTTTATAATTAAAAATTTTAATTCAAACAGCATGTTTTAATTATTAAAGTAGAAAGACTAAATTTTAAACTATACTTACTATATGATAACAATTATATAAGCAAGTAAGAAATGGGAAAATTGGTAGGATGTACATGAAAATAGTTATCTTTAAGTGGTAGGATCTTGCCTTTTTCAGTTTTATATATTAATATTGAGAATTTTTACTTTTATAATGAAAAATTTTTTTCAAAGCCTTTCAGAGGGAAGGATAAACCAGCTACCAATTTTTTCATTTAGAGCCATCCATATGTAGATTTGCTAAAAGCTCATCTTATTAATGAAACCTATTCCTATTACACTAAACTGCATCTTGTCCCAGTTGCTCTTGTGTTCTTATCTCTTTAAATTTTTTTTCATATCACATTACAATTAAAATGAAAATGATTTGCTTATTTTATTTATTTATTTGGTACTGGGAATCCAACTGAGGACCTTGTACTTGCCTGGCAGGCCCAGTGCCACTGAGCTACACCCCTCGCTTTGTCTGTCTCCCACCTCTATAATTCTGGATTCTTTTCAAATCAAAGACGCATTTCTGTTTAGTCCACTCATGTATCTCAAGAAATTTGCACACTGCCTGGCACACAAAAGATACTCAATACATACTCTTTGAATTAATAACTATTTTCTTACTAATTGTTCTGATCTTTACCTCCATAGCCCAGCCTATACTATTGCCATATAAGCCGTCTGGTAGTCCGAAGATGTACTATGTTCCACAACTACAAGCAGTTCATCCAATGCTGGATTCCAAATCAGACACCACTATTGAGAGCACACATTCAGGTATTTTACAGAAATATTAAAAATCTTAGTTTTGAAATTTTATTTTTGTGTTGGCTGGTTAATTATGAAATCAAAAGTGAAAGTTAAGTGCTCTAATCTTTCAGTCAAATATGGAGCTTTTTATGTCTTGGTTTCTGATTCAGATTAGGTTATTTTATCAGTTACATAGACTTAAGCATTTAATAATTTTTAATGAAAGAAAGTGCAAGTATAGCTTATTTGTTTAGTGGATTTTATCTAGGGAAAAATTTCCCAAGCTTTGTTGGTTTCCAGTATCCTTAATGTCTGAGTTATTATTTTTTCAGCTTAGAGATAATACATGCAGTTAAATATATATATATATATTTTAAATAGCTCCTAAGGTAGTAGGGCATAAATACCTTTTGTTTTTAATCTAACAACTTAGTAAACTGTTATTTCCTTTTGGCTTGGTTTTTTTTTTTTAATGAAAAGCATTTTATTTTGTTCATAAGCACACTTCTAATGAAAATACTGTGTGTGGTTGTTGGACACTATACCAGTTTTCATGTCTTGAGATGAAGTTGAACACATCTGCTATTCTTCCTTGCTCTTTTATTAAAGTAAGTATAAAAAGATTCAGCTTTGCAAAGCCACGACAGTGCTGAAAGGTACATAACAGTATCTGATGTTGAGTTTTTGAACTACCTAGCATCCATAATTCATGGCGTATATCAGTTATTACATATCACCATTGTTTTCCTAGAATTAAAATATTCTGCAGCTTCCCTATTAGTTCATTGCAGGTTAATTTTAGACTTAGGAAATTAATAGTACTTCCTAGAGGAGTTCAATAAGTACTTCCTTTAGGATTTTTAGAGTAGGAGTACCGAGTTGTTGTGTCGTTAGGTTTTTATTGATGGGATAACATTTTTAGTGTTCTCAAGATGACTTGCTTCACTTTGGACAAATTGTTTTCTTCATAATTTTCCCATAAACATCTTTGTATCTGTAGAGATTACAAATAAAAGATAAGTTAGTTATCCTTGGTATTATTTTATTAATTTTGTATGAAAGTAAAACAAACTAGGTTTTTTTTTTTTTTTGTACCAGGGATTGAATTTATGACCTCACACTTGCCAGGCAGGTGCTGTGCCACTGAGCTAAATCTCTGGCCAACAAAACTATCATTAGTTTTAATGATAACTTTATTAGATCTCTGATATAACCTTTAATTTCTCACCACTGTGATGGAGCAGAAAGAACAAACAACAGAAATGCTTACCAAATATAAGGATTAAATCTATAGTTAAAAGTGAAGAAATTTCCTCTTCCCAGAATGCTGTGACTTTTAAAAACACACATCTTAGAAATACAATAAATTTATTTAATCTTTAGGAAAAGTTTTGATTCCTCTCACTCTCGGATTAGAAGACAGAACATCTGAAGATGGTAGAAATCTGGTCATACTTTTTGAGGCCTCCAGTGACTTGCTATCCAGTTACATCTCTAATATTTCCATCTGATTGAAGATAATATTGTAGAAAAAAGATTTGACAATGGCAAGGAATGAAGAGAAAGTGACTCAGTGGTGCACTGTATTCAGGGAATGTAGTTTTTATAAAAAAAAAAAAAAGTACTGAATGCATCAGGGAGATAAAAAGAGACCAAGTAGCGATACATATTTGAGACCCTGTCTCAAAAAAATAAAAAAGAGACATGTCCCAACTGTATTCTGTCTGTAAAATACTCACTTTAGATTCAAAGACAAATACGTTGAAAATAAAAGGATAGGAAAGGGTATCCTGTAGAGTGGTTGTACTAATGTTAGACAAAGTAGACTTTTTTTTTGGTACTGGAGATGAAACTCATGACCTCGTGCTTGCCAGGTGCTTGTGCCACTGAGTTAAACCCCTGGCCCTACAGATAAAATAAACTTTAAAAATTATTACTAAAGACATTTTATAATGATAAAATGTTAATCCATCAAGAAAAATATAACAATTACAAATACTTAACAAAAAAGCTTCGGATACATAAAGAGATACTGACATATTAGCTTGTGAATTTGTTCATTTTTATTGGTACATGTTTGTATAGTATATGATGATTGCATTCATTAAGGGGAGTTGGTACAGGTATGTGACATTTCTTAATTCTTTTGTATTTTAACTTGGTACGCGTACGTAACACTCCATGACCTCCCTCCTTGCTCATTTCCTTTCCCTCCCTCCTCCATCTTCCATATGGCAAAGATCCACCTTACTATTTCCTGTTGTTTATATTTTATTTTAGACTTGGTTTATATATTGGCTTTCTCACATAAGAGAAGCCAGCTGGTATTTTAACTGCTGTGTCTGATTTACTTCATTTAACTTTCTGGTCACAAGGTGCATCCCTTCTTCTAAAATGACTGGTGTTCATCCTTCTTTGTGATAGAATAGTACTTCACTATATATAAAAAGCACATTTTCTTTTTCCCGTTATCTGTTGATAGACGTATAGGTTACTTCCAAGATTCATCTGTTATTAATTGTGTTGCTATAAACAACGATATACAAGTGTCATTTTAATTTGATTGCTGTGTTTAACTCTTTCAGAAAGATAAGAAGGGGAATAGCTAGGTCAAATGGAATTTCTATTTTTAGTTTTTTGAGGAATCTCTATACTGATTTCCATAGTGATGATACTAGTTTACACTCCTACCAACAATAAAGAAGTTTCCTTTATCCCCATAGCCATTCCAGCATTTGTTGTTATTTAATTTCTTTAAGATAGCCATTCTTTCTGGAATGAAAATTATTCTTTTCAGATGGAAATAGTAGAGCTGTAAATGAATAGCAGAAGGCCTCCAAAAGTATGACCAAATTTCTACCATCTACAGTATTATTTTTTGCATTCTTCAAATGGCCAGCAGTATTGTACATTGTTTCATATGGACATATGCAAGGTTTCTTTGTGTTTCTTTATCTGAGAGGTATCTGTTCATTTTAGCTGTCTGTTGTATGATAGAATCTTTATATTTGTTAGGGGGGGTCTAATGTTTTTTAGTTTTTTATATTTTCAAGATATTAGTCCTTTGTGAAGTAGCTGAAAAAATTTTTTTCCTGTTGTGTAGGTTTTGTCTTTACTCTCTTGGTAATTTCCTTTGCTGTACACAAGCTTTTAATTTGATATGCTCCCATTTGATGATTCTTGATATTATTTCTTTCAGGGTTTTGTTCAGAAAGTCTCTGCTTGTGGCTGAGTCTTAGGAGTTTCACCTATTTTGTCTTCCAGTGGATTTTCTGTTTTAGTATTTCAATCTTTGATCACTTTGATTTTACTTTGTATGTAGTAGATGGGTTTAGGTGGGTAGTTTTCTTGATACCATTTGTTAGAAAGGCTTTCTTTCCTCCAGCAAAAGTATGTTTATCCTTTTTCAAAGATAAGGTAACTGAGTGTACCTCGAGTTAGTTCTGTATTCTGTATTCTGCTCCATTGATCCACAAGTCTGTCTTTTCCCAGTGCTATGCATTTGTTTTTAAATTGCTGTAACTTTCTAGTATACCTTTAAGTCCTAATTGTGATGCCTCTAACCTTGCCTTTGTTGCTCTTGCTTTTGCTATTACAGGTCTCTTTTGGTTTCACATGCATTTTAGGATTATTTTCTATAGCTGTGTAAGGAATGCTGTTGATATTTTGACTGGCATTATGTTTTAAAGCCAACATAATTAAAGGAAAAAATAAAAAAGTCAAATAAATCTGAACATGTCACATGTTGTATGATTTCATTTAATGAAGTATGCAGAACAGATAATTCCTGAGAGAGATGGAAGGTGGCAACGTGTTGACCAGGGACTGTAGGGAAAGAAATTAGGGAAGGGAATAACTGCTCACTCTTGTACCTTCAAAATTTCTTCTTGGGGTAATGAAAATGTGATTGACTTGGCAATGTTCATTGCGAATACATTAAAAATAGTTCAATTACAATTGTTAAATTTTTGTTATGTAAATTATATCTCTTTTTAAAAAGAAAGAGTCAGGAGTGAACCAAAGAAGAAAAGATTGAATGAAAAAGTAAAAAATTTAAAGTGTATTTTTCAGACAAGAGTAAAATTATTATGAAGAAACTTGAATGGATGATATGGACAAACTTGAAAAAGTCTCTAAAAATACAAATAAAAAATATTAGAATGTGAAAAGAGAAGATGTAAGAAACACAGCCCGTAACATTAGACCAAGAATTGTATTTGCAGACAGCAGAACCATGTGAAAGCAATATTCAAGATGTGAATAAAACTTTTCTCTCTGACAAGAAAAGAACATAATATATAATTTAAAGTTCTCATACAGTCCAGGCAAAAATCATTAGCAAGAGACAGAGATACAAAAAGAACATAATATATAATTTAAAGTTCTCATACAGTCCAGGCAAAAATCATTAGCAAGAGACAGAGATACAAAAAGAACATAATATATAATTTAAAGTTCTCATATAGTCCAGGCAAAAATCATTAGCAAGAGACAGAGATATATGCTGTACAAAAATTTGAACTTAAAATATTCTAAAGCTTAAAAGCATTGAATATTTTTAAAAATTATGTAGCTAAAGAAAAAGCTTCCTTTGTTAAAACAGTAAATGTTGAAAATGAGCAGAAGAAAATGTATATTTAGTAAGAGAAACATATTAGTGGTTCCAAGTGTATATTTATCAAGTAGTATGACCATAGAAACATTTTTTAAACCAGTATACTAGAGATAGAAAATATATTTTAATTCTAGATTTTCTTTTTTTTATTTTAAAGAGGGTAAAATTAAACACAACAAAACAATATAAGAAAGCAAAATGAGAGACGTAAATTTCAAAGCAAGACAATCAGGGATCTTTGCTATCTATCGTATTGTCTCTTGTTTTCTTCCAAATAGTTATCCATATCTTCACATACAGAAAATTCACATGAACCAACATAGTATATAACTGATCTGAACTCTAGATGAGAAAGGTGTTTTAGGTCTTCAAAATCAGACAATAGGGAAGTCAACAATGGCTGTCATAGTGT